GAGATATTTACTGAATGAGCAACTGATAGAGAAACATACTGTAATCATCTGTGATGGATGAAGATACCAAGAAAACAACACCATTTAATGGTAATTATAAGTCAATTTGTTGACCGATTTCGTTAATAGTTTCATTAATTTTATCAGTCATATTACGTGATTGTCAAGTTATGACAATGCTTTATGACGATATCCTGAAACTATTAAATTTAACTAGTTATAGTGTTGATTGAGGATTAGTCAGTGGAAAAATAGGTATTGTTGCTTTAGGTGATTCGAAATCATCAGAAATTTATAACGTTAAAGAATCCGAGACGCCTAATTTAATTATAAATTTCAATTCAGAAATATTCGTTTAGTGTTAATTCTAGTAGGCTACGGAGTTTTGATTTTAAACGTTTGTTTAGCCAACAGCTACCTGGGATTTAGTTATTTTACTAGTGCAGTTGATAGTACCTAAATTTTTAATCTTATTATCTAAACTATGTTCGCATTTTAGGCTGCTAATATGATAAACCAATCCATAAACCCAAATACGATTAGCAACAACGACTATGATGGGTTTATTGATAAATGTTAAAGGCGATCAGATGATTTCTAAATTTAGAAGACATGGAGATATAGTGTAACGTATGTATGGGCCAGGTTAACATGCAGGTTGTTGACGTATATGACGATTTAAAAATAATGAACATGACCAGAAAATAATTTTAAAGTTAAGACTGCTTGTGAAACTTCAGGCAGGAATATGATGCGTTATAAACCTTCCATAAGAAGTTACTGCATTTAGCTTAGTGACACTTACAAATATATGGCAAAAGCAACTGAAAAACATATACATGTTAAGTACAAAAAAATCATCCAGTAAAATAGTTGAACTCGCCTTGATTATTTTTGAAAATTAGATTATTCAGTGGACGACATATATAACGCCATTCGTGAGTAGTAATGATCCAAAAGTATCCAGAATAAAACATGCAGTATGGCAATTAATTCCAGGGTGCTTGATGCTGTTGACGTTTTTGCCACTCGCTCGGATCAGAACAATCGAATGAATCCAGATAATTGTATGGTTGTCATTGAACGAGCCATCTAAAAATGATTGCAGAAAACTTATAGCTGAAACTCACCGTATGTTTTTGGAGAAGTGTCATCCTTGTTGTTTGGCAATGGAACTCGAGAATATGAAATTAGGCAGGCAGTGGTCAGAAGAAAAGATATTACAGGATAGTGCATAGTTTAAAACAGGATGAGGTGATAAGATAAGGAACACTGAGAATTAGATCCCGATAACTATTTAGTCCTTGCTGCATTGTTAGTCAATGTATATTTGCGTTATTTACAGGTCATATTTGCTAGAGCTTGATGCTTAAACAAGTCTATGTCGCTGAAGCATGTAAATGCTATTAAAGCTTGTTAACGAACCATCAAAGCTAATTAGTTAATTTAGACGACCAGTTTTTACTATCGATTGACCTAGTATGTTATGAGAAGTAATCAATATAACATTACGATAATATATGTGAGCATTAATCAGAGGACTATTAGAATACTGGGTTAACATATATATAAAATCGATCGAGAAAGTTGAAGTGGAAATAAGGATTAACAAAATAATAGGTTGCGTTTCTTTAGTTGGGCTCACCAATGTAGAATTATGGTCTACTATGATATTAGTACTGCTCTAATAATAGACCTAATCCTAAAATTGTAGATTTGTCATGATATAACTGCCTAATCTATAAGATCTTACGTGGAAGTCACATCATCGACACCAACTCACTGTATCGTATCAATTACCAATACATGATGGAACAAGGTTAGGCTAGAGAAAGAACAATATATTTAATATGAATAGGAGATATAAGATAACATCCAGCAGGGACCACGCCTGCATGGCCGAGCCATGCCACTCGATCAACTCCAGTCCATTCAATTCACTATTCGCGCCTTCCCCATCGTTAGGTATTTCTCCGCGTTAAATATTGAATATCTATTTTCTGTGTAGTCTCGTGTTCACAGCTTTGTGGATTGTGTGGCTATTGTCCAATGCCACTACAAGTTTCTTTGTCGTGTCATACAGTTGTCTCATGTTTCCTTCTCTTGCAGCCTTTTCAGCCGTCGTTGCTAAATCTTCCACATATTTACGTTTGTCGGTTCTGATGCTCCTCTTCACTTGTTTCTTTACTTCTGTGTATTCAGCTTGTGCCTTGGCTTTTTCTGCTCTTGTTCGACTGGTATTGATTGCTGCCTTCTTGTTCCTCCTTTCTTGAATCTTATCCAGTGTATCAACAGTGACCCATTCCTTGTGATGGTGCTTCTTGTGACCCAGGACCTCATGACATGTTGAAGTGATTGCCTCTTTGATCCCCTTCCAGTTGCTCTCCACAGTAGTTCCTTCTCCATTGAGTAGATCATGAAAGGCCTGGAACTTGTTGCTGAGGACTATCTCGAATTTGTTAAGTTTATTAGTATCCTGAAGAAAGGCCGTATTGAACTTTTGTGATATTGTCCGCCCCGTTGTCCAGTGCTTCTTGAGCTTCAGTTTCATCTTGGCGACCAGCAAGTGATGATCTGATGCTATATCAGCTCCTCTCTTGGTTCTCACGTCCTCTATAGTCCTCCTGAACGTTTGTTGATGCAAATGTGGTCGATTTGGTTTTGTGTATAGTGATCCGGTGAAGTCCATGTGGTTTTGTGTATGCGTTTATGTGGGAATATGGTTCCGCCTATGACCAGTTAATTGAAGGCACATAGGTTTGCAAATCTCTCACCATTTTCGTTTCTTTCTCCCAGTCCGTGTCGTCCCACTACAAATTCATAACAAAGGAAAAATCTTAAAGTACACAAAAAACAAATGTGATTACCACTACAAATTATTATTGTAAATATCCATTTTGTTAGATTTTGATATATCTGTTTTACCCAAGGTATGAACTTGATTTTTTCATATTTTGACCATGAATTTTTGATGTATATTGTGCCTTTGGTTTAGTGTTTCGATATATTTAGCCTGACAGACCAGAAAGTTTGCTTTAACATTAAAAGATTAATTTTTCTATAAATAGTTACTTCATATCCATCAGCTTAAGCATATTAAAAAGACCTGTATGATTGGGTGTATTTAAGGGTTATATTTCATCTACCTCCTCTTGAGATTGAGTATGGCAGTTCTTCTACCCACCACATTCAGCAAGCTGGTGACCCAAGGGTAGCAATCCTTAAGGCAATGTTGCTGAGTCAAAAGTATGTTCACAAATGACAAGTACTCGCGTAAACAATGCTGCATCAGAGATCCTTAAACCTCTCAGTGTGTTAGAAGAATTGTTGCTGACCGATAACTTGAAAGATCATTTCAAAAACTTCGCCAAAAATTGGTGTGATTTCTGCCAGTTCTTCATTATTTGGGCGTGTCCCATTGCCTTAATAATGAGATAACATTAGTAGTGCAAAATCTAAACTAAGGTTTGGACTAAAGAATAATTGTCTAGGCGGGTAAGATGCACGCCCTTGCAATAGCAATACTGTCCAGTAAAATGTTGTGAAGTAATTTCACTTAATTCAAAATTCATTAAATACTAACGTTTGGTTCTGTTCCTGGTTATTCCTAAGGTGTTGTTTGATGTACGATTCACCGCCATATTCTTTTAAGTCCCAAAGCCTTTGCAATTCAAACGTGACATTTTGTAAACATTTTTATATCCTAATGCTTAGTTTGGACATAACTGTATTTTTCGAATTGTTTGAGCTTTGTGGTAGCGTTATTTATTGATTTATTCATGCATCTTTTATACTAATCCAGACCGGAAATCAAGTCTTCCAGTTGACTCGCTTTTGTGCTCACTTTTACTCACCGACCAGTCACAGAATAGAATAGTTTTCGTCTCGTTTTTCCAGAGCCATTATTCTCAATTTAGACCCACGCGTTTCTGGCCCTAAGTTTGAACTAATTAGCCAATCATTTCAAGCCTTTAAACCAAATTAAGACAACTCCTCGACTCTATATTACTGGGTAGGTAGATCCATATTTAAGAGACTTAGTAAAGTCAACTGATCACAGAGAAAGGGTTTCCTCCCATGCGGAGAGCATTGATCTGTACCTCAAAACTTGACACTGGCACATTACAAAATATTAAGTGGATTATTAGCTTAGAGGTAATTACCGAACTATCTGTTCAAAGAATCAAAACATTTAAGGCAAACTAGAGACGTAGTCCTATCGTCAAACGGCAGATTAATTCAACCATTTACAGTAGCAGCACTTGAACACAGAGATGCAATATGGAAGCACCCCACGAAGTGGAAGTAGTTGAGTAGGATTATGCGAAGACAGTCTTGAAATGGCGTATGATGAACGGACGGTGGCGATGACTAAAAATATAAGCGAAATAAATAAATATAGTCGCTTGTGTTGTCGAAAATACTTGAACACAATATGTAAGAATGAAAGTATTAAAAAATTAACTTTACGATTAAAGTAAAACCAGGAGTTACTGTCAGGTGAAATGCGCACAGAAGGGGTTTCACACGCACAGACATGGATAGACGTGTGCATACGAAGAGCATTTTCTAGTCTGGTTTCTATTTCGTCTCTTTGTTCCAAATGCTCTTATTTTGTAGTATTCCCTCGTATTTTTGATTTAAATATATTTTTATTCCCTCATTAACGTACGTTCTTTCATTTCCTATCGTTATTTGAGTTCCAACTTTTAAAGGTCTAATGTTACTAATCAAACAGCTGCATGACGAGATAATGACTCCTAGTTCCAGCATTCCCACCGTAATGAGACGAACAGCTCTAACGACCTGAAAATAATCAAGCCCTTGTATGAGTGTTAGATTTGTGATGAATATTAGGGTGAAGCAAGCGGATTCGTCAACGGGCGGCACTACTAGGTCTAACTCATTTTCTGAAACTTTGACGCGATGGTTAAGGAAACATTGGACATCTAATTAGCACCATGACAACAGTAACGCGCACATTTTAAAACAGTGTTTCGATGAGGGAAAGCATATATAATTTAATACCCTTAGAACAGCCACCTAAAGCTTTGTTACCAAGGTAGTTTTAGTTTTTTTTGTTATCATATATATTTTAGATATAAATCATGTAGCCAGAGAGAAGTAATATCCTTATTTAACATTAAAAAGTTTCCTTGTAAAACTATGGGAGTCCCAAAAGTTAATCCCCCGAATCCGCAATGCTATCTTAAGATGAGACACTCAGCACCTGAATTATTTCGTAAAAACGACGAGCCACTGAAGGGTAGCTTAATTTTGTTGGTTCAATTTTTATGAATATCCAGGCAGCTATTATAAATGTAACCTCTCAGCTAAAAGAGAACCCCTGCCATCCTTAAATCTAAAGCAATGAACGTTGTTTCATGCAAAGATTTTATCAAAAAGAATATAAGGATGATAGAAGCGTCAGTGCCTTCAAGACCCAAACCGTTTGTGGTAGATACGAGGACAGGCCATAAGTTTGATATTAAGTGTTCTGGTCTTGAGCCTTTTTATATTAAGCGTAAGGTGAGCACTCATCATTGACCAACTTTGAATGAATACAGGATTTTGGTGAATTGCCGAAATATCTCTCTGAGCGTGAGAAAGCCGCTTCTGAAGCCCAAAAGAACTATGAAGAATACATTAAACAACTTAAGGAGAAAAATGCTCTGATGGTTATCACAAAGATGAGAAAAAGGTAAGACTGTTTATCTGCTTTCGTAACTTTCTATCAACTTAGTCTTTAATTGATCAACTAAAAGACAAGTGGCAGCAAAGATATAGACAGTATCAATCTTTATCCGTCATGATTGACACTCCCCCAAAAATGCACCACAAACTATGGCTTGAAAAAGAAATGGAAGACATAGAAAAGACATAAACCTCCTGGAAGGATATGATTATATTTACGTTGCCAAATAAATGTCATATTAAACATTTATGATAAAAAGTGCCTACATACGATTGTTGCACAAATACTCACACTGGCTAGTGTACTGATTTCTCATATTTCCTATTCTGAAGAAAACACACTATTTTTTCTTCATTGAACTCTGTAACAACTTATCCCCAAATTTATTTCAGAAATACTATGGTTTCCAGAAAGGTGCATTTACAGTTTTCACATGCACCTACAAATTTCTCTTTCACATTGTTTGCAATATTTTTCCTCACTCTTTGTAGGTATGTGATTTAGATTACGATATCACTTACAATCAAAAATTTACAGTTTTGTGATTGGAACCATTTGTATCCCTCACTTTGGCCACTTAGGACAGAAGTTTAATTGAACTATACTCTGTAGTAAGTAGAATAGCGATGCGCAAATATTTACTTGTCAGCTGTGCCACTAGCAGACGGTTTTTACACAAATCGGGTTGAAGTAGCCTGGAGAAAGCGATACCTATGAATCAGGTGAAAAGTAAGACACACATGCTGTTACAACAACTTGTTCAGCCTTTAGTAGTATAGTGATTAATGGCTTCCTTACGAATGATTGGGAGTTATGGCTAGCATACGATTAAAATTTAAGAAAATTTAGTTACAATTCCAAAGGTTACCAGTCAACATGATGAAATGCATCGCAGAAATCATTTTCTGGTGTTTAGTAAACTATTATATCTGCCTTGAACTCCAAGGAATATCAAACGTGAAAAGTTACTGTTTGGACAAAGTAAAATATACGATTCCAATAAATCTGCTATGCTCCATTGCACTATATTTTCATCATGCAATGGGCTTACAGATTTTAGAACGTGATACTGTGGTTTGTGTATTCCACCATAACCAAAAGAACAAATTCAGATAGTTAGATTAAAGCTGATTGTTGATGGTATTCATATTTACTTGATTTTAAAATGAATTGCTTTTAAATTTTCTTAATGCCCTTCGTTATAAGTCTACAACTTTATTGTGTTAGAAGCTTGCATACCTTCCGTCCCAACTTAGATGGTATGACGTTGCAACAAAGGATTTATAAATTTGTCGTGAAAATAATATCGATGTTATGGTTTCTATTTCGGGTATCACGGGGTGTTTATTTTTTAGATATTGTTATCACACATTCGTAGATATCCTGCAGCTAGTTTTAATTTACAGTTTTATGATAATAAGAAGTATTCAGATTATTGTATTAACTAGGAATTTCCGAAATAGTGCAATTTAAGCCAAAGAGAGTTAGATTAGCACAAACAAACGTACTGTATTTAGGATTCAAAACCATAAACGAATCAAGTACGAAAAAATCATTGGTTCATGCATAAACAAAAGATCTGTCTATGGTTTGTAGTTGCAAAATACCGTTCTGATAGATTCTAATGACACGGACCATAAGCAACCTATAGTTAACTGTCGGAAGAAAAGTCACCAACTTACCAAAGTAAAGAGCATAGACAAACAGTATTATGTACCCAGTGAGAGACTTAACTACACCTATGGTGTACTATGCTGCTCCAGACAGTTTAGCTTATTTTAAACCAACACGTTTTGAGCCAGGTGTTGACCATCTATCAAACTATTCATTTTAAAGGATCTCTAGTGAAACAGCATGAATATAATTCATTTAGAATTAAAACTAACACAATTGTAATATTTTTTGTGTTCATTATTGCTAACAGACCCAGCTTCCTGAAGTAAAACTTTTCATAAAGCATAAGAAATAGTTATAATGCCCTTTAAAATGAATAATTGTACAAGTTGTGATTTCGCAAGCTTTATTTGTCATATATTAGTGTCTCGGAATAATTGTCAGTTTGATTAAATGTTACGAATCGACTTAAAGCAAGATTTATCAGTTCTTAAATTGATAAATGAACGGCTAACAACAACTATCTATATACCAATATTGATGAGATTAGTTGTAATAACCAAACCAAAAATCTCCTTTGACCTAATCTTGCCAGTATTTTAAACAAAAGCTTTCAAACAGCTACAGTTTAGAATGAATATGTGTAAAGTTGATTTGCTTTAGTTTGTAAAAATTCATTTTCATAAAATATACTCAACGTCCATTAAAGAAATAATAACTTATTCAAAAGATTACGACAAAGTATCCATAACGACTTTAACTAGAGAGAGATTTAGTTACTTAGCGGTTTTGTAACAATGAAAATATTTAAGATATATGACAACTTTATTATTTATCATATAAACCAAATCATCGCTAAACTGTTTTGCAGTTAATTAGAAATATAAGTTATACAGCATATTTAGTGACGAATAAAAGTGTAAACTTGTACACAGTACTATATCGTTTAATGTTTTGGAGAATTAAGTACTAAATGCAGACGAAATTGAAAAAATATAAATAAGTTAGGAAGATCTTTATAAACATTGTATGTATATATATGTGATAATGATTTGAAGTACTCGAAATAGTGTGCTATGAATTCCTGAAGTACTGCAATTCAAGCCAGGTAGAACTAAATTAGTATTATATTTTTAACTCGTAATGAGCGAGCAACCAAGTAGAAAGAACTCATTGGCTAGTTCAAATACCACAATATATAATGTAAACAAGTGAGTTGATATGCTATAATTAAAATGGTATCCAGCTCCCTCTGAATTTATTAAATCTTATGGCCTTGTGCCCTTTTAATATATGACGTTGTGATACCGCCAATTAGGGCATAGTGAATTATCGACTAAACCAATGTAGCATAAACCCATACAAGTAGTCTACAGTCCTTATCGGTTTTTCTTCTTGCCTAACCCTGCCCGTTAGAGTCCAGAACACCAACCTCAGCCTCTGTGATGTGAATTATTTATTTCAAACATACGGGGTTTATATACAAAAAGACCACATCGTACCATAAAACAGAAAATAACAGTTGTACAAGATCTAGCAAGTGTACCCTTAACAGCACACGAGCAAGTGTGAATGTGAATATGGGAGACTGTAATTACTTGACTAGTCATAACTCAAGAACGGTAACTCGTATAATAATAATCTATGAGTCGAAATAAAGCTTAGAATAAGAAAAATATAGATATACATATTTTTTGATGGAGTTTTGTTCTCTGAGCTGGATGGTATGGTCGTGGAGCTTTCATCGTTCTTCTGAACGACATCATCAGCACAAACTTTGGATAGAAGTGAAGTGTTCGATTTTCTACATAGGCGTTTCAAAGCTTATTCTGTACACCTCGACGTTGATTGGTTCTTATTGACTTTAAATTTGTCATTATTTACTCCTTTGTTTTGGTTGTGTCTCCCACTGATTTTATTTTTGTTCCTATATTTGTGCATGATTTTCCTGATTGGTTGGTAAATTGGATTGATTTCAATATGTTTGTTGATTGCTGATTGACCTGAGTGCCAGGCTTTAAAAATCCTCTGGTGTTTTTGGAATTTCCTCTGCCAAAGATTTCTACAATTTTTCAATCAAATGAGTGTCCGCAGTTGTCCATGTGTATTGATATAAGTGAGGAAGTATCATGGGGTTTGACTGCCAATTGATGTTCATGCAGGCGAAGGTGAATGGGGCGTCCGCTTTGTCCGATGTAGTGTTTTTCGCAGTTGGTGCAATTTATTTTGTAGATGATGTTTGATTTGTTTTCCTTTGTTATTTCATCCTTTGGTTTGCATAGCATTGATTGTAGTGATTTTGTCGGTTTGTGTGCCACACCTATCCCAAAGGTTTGACTACTAAACAATTGTACATCAAGAATATACATATAATATTTGTCCATCAATACTTCTCAAAAGTTACCATTCATAATTCTCGTCGGGGTATAACAATATCTTATTGAAGTAGACTGCTGATTATCTTGAACAATATTTTCGATTAAGACAGGCTTTCTGTGAAATCAATTACAAGGACCTAACTAATGAATTATAATACTTATTATTCAGATCAAAAGATTTCAATGTTTCAATTTCACTTTACATATCACAGTCACAATTATGATCATTTAGTACAGTGGACTTATAGTATTTAGTTCGATGAAGCTTGAAAATATCGACTGGTAGATTGAAAGGTCACAATTTTATGCTCTTGTTAACCGTCTATTGTTTTCTAGCAGAATATGATAGACAATTTAGTTTAGGCAGATTTAGAATAGGAAATGTGGTCAAAATATAATTATGTTACTAGCTAAATTGTTTCGAATGTTTCTTTCTACTACTATCATTTTTCATATAAACTGAGGAGAGATTAGTCAAATGAAAAAGTAACGATATATAAAATACGAGATACATTTCAGGTAGTAATACAACTGTGAATGGTTTCCTGTAGATAACAGAGTTCCTTGCACATTAATGAGAAATATAGAAGAGAGTTATCGTAACATCACTATTGGCCTTTGACCTTAGCCATGTCTGATAACAGCTCACATCATTAACATGCACCATCTGTAGAACCCAAATCAGGGTGTTGTGATGCAATGACAATCACCAATTCTATTCAGATTTCTTTCATACCACCAAACTATATCATAGACTGACTGGCCTGACTCTTTCTTCAGCCAGCCTAAGCATTAGTGAATAATATATATTGTGGAGGTTGCTGGGATGAAATTCATACCACATGTTTAAACAACCGAGACAGATGAAGTTATCAAACTACAGAAGCCCAATCAACAAGTTCGTAAATGTCCAGTGTTTGATGATTAGAAGGAATCAACAATTAACACTACATAATCTCATAATAATTACTTGCTTATATTCAGTTATAAGACCTCAATATTTCAGTGTGTTTCTTTTCTGGAAAAATTTCTGTTAAGTCTATTTGATTGTGAACAATCCATTATAAACAAGGTAAATTAGGCTGAACATTCTCTGTGATAGAAACTAATATCATATGACATTATCTTCAATCTTGATTGAATTTCATCTAATGGATATTCTTCACTAAACTTACAACTATTCAATAACAAGTCACAGAAATCGTCAAACATTTCATTATCAAAATTGATGATCCCACCATTCTGCTACACTATTACTTACTTACTTAAGCCTGTTACTCTCAATGGAGTATAGGCCACCGACCAGCAT